TCTATCAGTCTTCCAAATTATAGAATCCCCTATTACCACAACCTGTCTAGGCCTTCCTGCATTACCCTCACCACCCGGACTTGATGTGCTGCTCTCCCGGTTGTAAGGGGTAGCAGTGACATCTAGGGCTGCTAATTCTGAGTCTGAGACCCGCACGTCTTCACCCAACTTAGCAAATTTGTTTAGGTGCACAAACACAGGGCTGGCCTTCCTCTTCTGTGAGCCCCTGCCACTCCCTCTAGATTCAGTAACCCAGTTTCCTACCTGATCATCCTCACTTGCCCCTCCACATCAACACCATTAACTGCCTGCTCAGTGATCCGCAGACTCCTCTCAAGGTTGTCAAATTTCCTCAGTGTTGCATTCCGCTCTTCCAGATCTCTAATCTGAGCTTCCAGAAGTGCAATCTGCTCACATCTGTCACAGCGGTATTCACCTTGGAGCTGTGGCTCCATTTGTGCATACATGTGGCACAGTGTGCACTGAACAAACCCTTCAACCATGCTAACATAACAACTATGATCCCAGTTGCAATATTTATAAAATTGATATGAAAATAAAGATGTTACTTACAGGTTAGACTTCAATTGTTCAAATGCCAATTTTTTAACGCCACTTAGCTCACACCTCACCTCAGTGGTAAAGAAAATACCAGACCCTAGATATCTGAGGTTTTAATAAGACAGGTTCTTCCCCCATACACAACAAGAAGCTTCTAATCATTGCACCTAATCTGGAACACCTGATTTTAATTCCATGGATTTGAAGTGGTGATAAATGTAGGGGTGTACTTACTTTTCCATGTGACAAATCTGCATTTTCATTATTTTAGATTATGAGAATGGGTGTACCATGTCAATTTTATTTGTAAATTATGCAAGTATATCCCCTTTATCTATAGGCACTGTTTGCATTTTCATTATTTTAGATTATGAGAATGGGTGTACCATGTCAATTTTATTTGTAAATTATGCAAGTATATCCCCTTTATCTATGGGCACTGTTTGAAAGAAGATCCAATGCTTGCCTCTTTAAATATGTTCAAAAAGTCATCAATGTCCATGGAGTGTACTTACTTTTTACATGACTACAATAAAAACAAGAAACAATTTTCTCCACAATTGATTTACAAAAAACAATTTCTTGCATTTTTATTACTTTTATTATCATTCACAACTCACAACCTTTATAAGATTAAGCGGAAAAAAAAATCATCCGGTCTATGGCCAACCTTAAAGTGACACTAAACTCAATTCTAGTTGTCCGGTGAGGCATGCACGGACACACACCGATGGCCTTCCTTGGAATCTAGTACTGGGGACACGGCTGAGATCCAAACAGACCATTGTCTGTATTTTACTGTTGAGTCAACAAACAGTTTTTAGACGCTGTTGCCCATACTCATTCTATTGTCTGGCCGAAAACTATATATAATGCCCAAAATTTGTTGAATACCGCCCTATGGAGGCATCTGGTGGCCTCATCTGAAACTGACCACCTCTTAAACCTGAAGAAGTGTTATGTACGCGAAACACGTTGTTATCTCTCACCAATCCCAACTCCCTGGGTCAAGCTAAGAATTCTTATATTTCAAAATTATGATTTGTACTGCTATGTACCACGTCTATTTCACGATTTGTTAAATAATCTTGACATACTGGTTGAGACACATCAATTGACGCAATCAAAATAGCAAACAAGATCAGGTGGACTATTTTTAAAGCAACCGTGCTAAACCAATGAGATCAGGTCTAGTTGGGCTCGATACCGAACTCACCTTGACCTATCTGATGGTTCCAAACATCTATGTAGTTACTTTGTGTTACACACCCAATACTACACCTGATGATTTGCTATAGATTGCCTATAGCAATCTATAGCAGATCAACTGAACTGTGTCAATCACAGCTAAGACCTATAATTTAATTATTTAGTTAGCCTGACCAATTTAGTTAGCCTACCACTTAGCCTGACCAATTATGTTAACCGTGTCTGAGGGTACTGGTGGAGATTAGCGGTGTTCTCTCCTATGGTTTTTACTATTCAATTTGTCTTATTTTAATTATGTATTGAATAAAATGTATACTTTTTATATAAAAACACTCTTGTGAAGTGTTGTTCAAAGTGCCTAAAAAAACCCCACCTTTCCACATTGTCTCTCTCTAATCAGACCCTAGATATCTGAGGTTTTAACCCCTTCATGACTGAGCTAGTTTTCAGGTTCTGTTCATAAATGACTGACACATTTTTTACATTTTTGCTGTGTGATTCTTCCACAGCAGTAATATACTTTCTTACTAAATGTACCCACACATATTATATATAGTTTTTTAGAGGACAGATAGGGCTATATAATTATATCACATATGTGTACCTAGCCCCTCACTTAGTTTGAATAAAATAAAAAAAATGAGGAAAAAAACTAGAAGAAAACACTTTTTTCACAAGTTTTGATTATTATTATTTTTTTTAGAATTTTTTAATATTAATTATAGTATACAAAATATATTTATATATAATTTATATTTTCCTAATTTTGTTTTACACTTTATTTTTATTTTTTTACACTTTGTAAAAAAAATAAAAAAATAAAAAAAAAAACTTTTTTTTTTTCTTGTCAGTTTATATCAAGCAATCACTATGACAGCTTGATAAATTAACTTTTTTATTTTATTTTTGGCTATTAGGCTGATCCAAACTTAGGAACAGCTAATAATAACCTTAGAGACTGATCCTGACTTTAGTCAGATTCAGATCTCACTAAAAGCTCTTTGATCGTGCCTAGACGATCAGAAATGATACATTTCACTCAAAAGAGATACATTGTATTCTTTCAGTGAAATGTATCTAAACATCGGGCTCTCGAACTGTCAAAACAAATAGCAGAGAGGTGAGGTGAGTCACTGCTGCCTCTCTGCTATTTTGAGCTGTCAAATACGGGATCGCAAATTGCGGTCCTCTATTTGCATGTAACGGCTTCATTCTTTCATTAATGAAAGGAAGAAGCTTTTACAAAAAGCTTAATTATTTCATTAATTAATGCCTCAATACTGAGACATTAATGAATGACTGTTAAATGCTGAGAATCAGCAAATACCGGCATTACAAAGCCTGATATAACTCGTCGCGTACAGTGTACGTGGCCAGTCATATAGGCACAAAGTGACAGGACGTACACTGTACGTCTCCCGTCACGAAGGGGTTTATAAGACAGGTTCTTCCCCCATACACAACAAGAAGCTTCTAATCATTGCACCTAATCTGGAACACCTGATTTTAATTCCATGGATTTGAAGTGGTGATAAATGTAGGGGTGTACTTACTTTTCCATGTGACAAATCTGCATTTTCATTATTTTAGATTATGAGAATGGGTATACCATGTTAATTTTATTTGTAAATTATGCAAGTATATCCCCTTTATCTATAGGCACTGTTTGCATTTTCATTATTTTAGATTATGAGAATGGGTGTACCATGTCAATTTTATTTGTAAATTATGCAAGTATATCCCCTTTATCTATGGGCACTGTTTGAAAGAAGATCCAATGCTTGCCTCTTTAAATATGTTCAAAAAGTCATCAATGTCCATGGAGTGTACTTACTTTTTACATGACTGTACAATCAAAACAAGAAACAATTATTTGTGTATCACTCAGCTATAGATCCTCAAATCATCTGTGAATTGGTGCTGACACTGTCCTTCCTTCCGGAGGGTGGCTACTTTTGTTCCCAATGGTCCCTATATGTGTTGTAAAGTAGCCACCGCTCCAAGCTCGCACCCGTGATGGACTACAATATAATGTTTGGTTTACTTATTTGTATTGCGATTGTAGTCTATCACCGGAGTGAGCTTGGAGCGGAGGCTACTTAACAATACACACAGGGACCATGGGGACCAAAAGTAACCACCCTCAGGAAGGAAGGATCAGCATGAATTGAGAGATGATTTGAGAATTTCCAACTGAGTGATACACAAATAAGATACATTTTTGTTAATAGTTAAGGTACTTGAGTGCATTTTTAAGATGTAACTCCTATGTTTAGTGTCAGTTTAAGTGTAACATGCAGTGATTGTTCTACCTTATGTTTAAAACTGACTTCCAAATAGATATTAAAAACCCACCAGGTAATGCAGACATTCATAAAAAATCATTGAGTGCATTTTTAAATGCAGCCATCATAAGCACCAGTGTTGTAGCACATAATCACTGAAAGAAGGGCCAACCAGGCTCTCCTGCAGTGCACAATTGATGACAGGGAGAGAGCAAAGTGTTTTCTTTTCACTGTGTTGATATTGCTTCAGTGTCTAATCAGCAAGCAGAGGGAGGTATACTTGACACAACTGTGCAGCTTGTGCTGTGGAGGTCAAGGTTCTTGCTATGCTTTCTGGCAGAGGTATCTTTATTACAAACTGACTAAACAGAATTACAAGTATTTTGGCAGGTCAGTTCATATTAATGTATTTTTACTTAGTATTGCTGCTTTCCTGGAGTTCAGCATTAAAGAGACTGTGCCATTTAAAAATCAAATGCTGCAGTGATAACGTACAGTACACTTAGAGCTGCATGCATAGATGCACCATTCTTCAAAACCCTGCTGTTACATCCAAATCCCTAGCCAAAGCTTTGGCACATTCAGATAGGGCCCACCATTTCCTGCTTTCTCCTCATTTCTATCGGCCATTATAAAGGACAAATAGGTATGTGTCTGAGGCAATAACTAATGGCAATCTACGACACTACCTGGAACTGTCAGAGCTTTGCATGTCAGAATGGCCCAGGATTTAGTGGTAACAAGGGATTACAGGTGCCTGCACTTTTTACCTGCTGCGTTTTGTTTTTTTGTTTTATTTTTAAATACAGACATTATTTAGCCATAATGTATGCCCTATGCTATATGTTTGACATGCATAGCAATACATACAAATTAATTGACTTTCATACACAATTTGTGCATCTTAAAACTAAAGTAAAGTAATATATAACCTGAAAATCTTACCAAGAGCATAAATCCTTCCCTGGTGCAGAGTCAGACCATGTGCACTCCTTTTGTGTTTCGTGGGTGCTACAAACTCCCAGTAATCTTTGTCTATATTGTACCGTTCTACAGAGTTAAGTTGGTTGTTGCCATCATATCCCCCAACAGCATATATATAGTTGTCCAGTGATACTACTCCTGTGGGAATTACATTTATTATAATACGTTAAGCTTCATTGATAAAAACTCAGAATAACACTTTCAAAGTTCACAAAACTGTTGATTTTAATATTTTTGTTATGACTCCTTGTTTGATTTTCCCAGTGGAAACACTTACCAAAAATTAGTAAATGAGCCACTTATACCCTTCCTTGAAGACAAGTCAAAGTTTAACTGTCTCTTGAAGAAGGTGGTATGGTAGACCTTAGCAGTAATGCCTCCACCAATACATCCTGTCCCTGGCCTAATAACATGCAACTTGTAGAGTCAACTGGGCCACTTAGACCCAAGCCTGACAGAAAATAGCAACATGGGCTTTTGCAGACTGATTCACCCTAGTCCACAGATCAGTCAGCATTTGAAAATGACTGCTTTAGTGTGCTGCTGACATAAGTGAACTTATATCTGCCTGTATACAGTTCAAGTCTCCAAAAATCTGTTTGTTTTTGGTTGAGAATTCACAGGAACACTCCCCTATATAAAAAAATAATCACTTTTCATTTTAAAGATGTATAATATTAGAAAGAAGTTGGTAACACAAGCTTCATTCACAATTCACTTTGTATTCATGTTGTCTGCATCATAATTCACTGAGTAGGTATTGCCAGCTTCCATTTAGCGGCATCTAACTTTTCTGATAGGAAAGTGAGGAAACTGATCATAATTGTTGTTTACACTGTGTTATTAACTCCAATAGTAGCAGTTTATGATATCACAATAATAGACCTCTGCACTATCTTAATTTTGTATGTGTTCCAATTGCAAAAGATTGGCAGTTGAAAGGGAGAATTTACAGATGGGTATCTTAGGACTACTTCTGACAGCAGTAGTGTAGGCTTGTCATGTTCTGTAAAATAAATCGAAAATGGCCATATAATAATATAATACACACTTACAGATGCTGTAGATAAATAAACTGTTATGCAAATCCTGAAGTCAAATATTGCTTGTATTTAGAATGACTACCTAAGAAATATTCTTTGCAGTATTTATGCATAAAGCATAGATGGAGTAGAAATTATTCTTAAATCAGTTACAATTTTTAAGTGATGTAGACTTGCTACAGAGTTAATTTGTGAGCTTAACTTTGTATGGTGTTTGACCAAGTCTCTGTAAGCAGGACTAGTTAGTGATTTATTGTTGATGAGGCTGTTAATGGTCACTCCTACTTTCTACGTTTAACTGGTTTGTCAAGTTTTTTTGTAATTCAAATGGATAGAGCCTTACAAGGATATAAAAAGTATATGTATTAAATAGTCAATAAGCTAGTGAAAGTGATCCATCACCTGGACATTTTTGAGAAAGTATGTTTCAGCTACAGTAAAAGCAGATATGGTACAGTAAATAAAAATAGGTTAATACTGTAAATACATATGAAAGAGGTCTAGACAGTGTTCACGATATGCACCTGCCCCACTGCGAATGGTCTTCATTGAAGCTACTGGGTGCCACCTGTCCTCATCAGGGTGGTAACAGTCAACGGTATTTAGTCGGTTTTCCCCATCAAATCCACCAATTGCGTACAAAAGCCCACAACTTGATGTTACTCCAGCACCAATGCGGGAATTATTCATGGGTGTAACAAATGTCCACAAGTTGAGTTCAGGATCATACCTAAAGTAATGCAATGTACACAACATGAGAGCAGATGTAATGAAAATAATAACAAACCCACAACTATGCCCACTCTATACTGTTTTAATTGTAATTGTATCTATAACATGCCCTGATTAGCCAGTTGTTGGGATGATGGCTATAAATTGGGCCAATGTAAGTTACCCATATGACAACACAAGATTTATAGCATTAATAAAAATGTCAGTGCCTATTCATTTTTATGTGGCAAAAAACAGTGCTGTAAAAGAGAACAACCATCCATCAAGTACCTACGGTACATTTCCATTTGTAATCCTGATACAAAACTTAGTGAAATTCTAGAACTGCCCTGCCCCTTCAATACAAAACTAAGTAAGGTAGTCTTTTTTCTCCTGCGTCTCTGTTTTTCTCTCCTATATCCTAATATAATATATTGCCAGAGGGCACTTGCACTTTCTCACTTGGGGAATAATGCCTCCAGTGCTGAATTTAGCTGAACAAAGTATGTGTAACCAGTGAGATTCTACCACCAGCAGCACACACACTTTACTACCGAGTGCTCGTTCTAGTATAAAGATGGCCCCTCCAGCACACAGAGTCATCCTTCCTATATCCTGTTTAAAAAAAAAGAGAAAGTCACTCCCTTTTTCCTGTCAAGCACCGAAAGCTTCTTGCTCCTGTTAAGCTTAATACTATTAGAGAATATGCTCCATCTACCTCTCTGCTCTTCTCAGTCTTTTCCTTACCCCTCCCAGCTTCCCTTTGCAGAAGAGTGTCCCTGATATTTATCAGCAATACTGTAGGGTTCCTGCACTCAACCAACTTTACACATTTATGGCTAATTACACACCTCTCTCGCTTTCTGTTCTCCTCCCCAGTAATGAAGTTTATTAAGGTTTGTACCTTATGAAAGGGAAAATGTGCAGCCAAAAACATGTAATAAACAGATTCAAATTGAAGACTTGAGAATTCAAGCTTGTATATAAAAGCACCGTCCATCTGGCTGGTTTGAGCGTTCATTAGTAGGTTACCCCAGCATGGTGTGCAGTGTAGAATTCATAAGTGTAAGACTGCACACACAGCAAAGCACACAGACACAGACATAGCAAAACAAAGATGAAAAACAGTCAAAGCACACAAATATTGTATACATAAATAAAAAAATAAATGCAATGGAGGGAGTCATATTAATTTGCATTGTGATATGTGGGGGAAATTGCTAGCTCAGGTGTTGAAATATTACTACCAACTGACATTAGAGCTTGGCCAGTTATTCAACCCATCCATTTATGCAAAAATAGAAATTAGAGTAAGTTATTTAAAAATATACAATTTAATAAGTGCAGAATAAGTATTGGTTATGACCATTATACTTATTTAGTCACTGGAAGGCTCTATTCAGATCAATTACCTATTGTGCTCCAATGATTGTTGTGCTAAAAGAATTTCAGATGATCCGTGTCAATAGTTTAGTAAGTATATTGACTTTTTCTAACTACCCTTTTGTATGACTTTAGTAAATACCATTTACCTTCTGTTGTAGTTTCTGCTGTATCAGTATGACCTATAGGTTTCTTACCTTTCAACACTTTTGTGGTGCTCAGAGCCAGAGGAGCCTCCAACGGCATAAATAGCTTCATCTATTACAGCTACTCCAACCCGATTCCTTGGTTCATTCATTGGTGCTCTCTTTGTCCATTGATTGGTCATTGGATTAAAGCAGTATAAAGAGTCTGAATCTGCATTTTCCGTAGCAGAATGATTCCTCCCTCCTACAGTGTAGAGCAGTCCACTTACAGTACAGGCTCCAAGACCACTCCTGGGTTCCAACATTTCAGCAAGCTCAATCCATTCCATAGTCTGTGGATTCAAGGCCTCCACAGAGGTCAGTGAATTCTGTTGGTAGCCACCAGCTACATAGATTAGTTGATTACCCCGTACTTTCATTGGTGGAAGTGGCTTGTGTAATGACATTTCTTGGAAAATCTTAGACAGAAACATCCTACATGAGTTTTCCATATTGAGAATGGGGCAGTGCTTAAGCTGCACTGCAAGGAATTTGGGAGGCAAAGCATAGAGGTGAACGGCATTTAGCAAGACATTAAAATACTGTGCTCTTTTGTCTACATCCCACTGCATCCATCTTACACAGGCATTGTATACCTCAGTCTCACAAAGCACATTTAGGCTTTCCTGACTGACCAAGTCCAATAGTTCACAGTGAGTAAGGTTTAAGAACTCTTCTTCTTTTGTTACCTGAAAGGAAAATATAAGTACTTTACTTTGTACTGTATTTTAATATTGACAAATGAGATGTACCAAATGTTGTGTAGTTCTGTAACAGTGGTATACACAAGTAAATATGGGTCAAGCATGGGTCCAAGATGATCTATGCAGCAAACTAATGCAGCCATTCACTGCAATAGCAACCAACTACCAATAATGAACTTCCTGGCCTCTGAAAATCATAGAATGGCCAATAATGGGGATTTTCTAAGGTGCTATTGCCCTCACCCTAAAAGGTTGGGTTCCCAAAAGCCATGCTGCAATGTGCTTAACTATGATAAGGAAACCATAGAAAGTGCTGCTAATAAAGTTCATAGGGACAGATTAGTGTAGGACTTGAAGGCACTGGTCTCTTAAGATATAAACCCTTACCTAATTCTCTTTAGGTAGCAAAATGCTGTGTATTTGGGAGTGGAGGGGGAATTATTTTTTACATCTTATTGCTGTTGAAGTGTGTCCTGCAGCTTCCTTATAGCCTTCACACATGCATTGTCTATAGTCATAACAGGCTACATGTGTGTTTTATAAGGGCATATTTCCTATTTTTTGCTGGCGACAAGTGATTTTTTCCACAGCCTGTCCCTGTCCACATGAACTTCACTGATAACTGGCTGCATGTTTTTTTGCAAAAGACATTTTGTCGACTGAGTTTTTTAAGGCCTTTTTTTGCAAATATTAAGTAATATTCCTGGGCAATGTGCATTCGCACAGGAGCTTATTTTTACCCTTGAGAAAGCATGCAACAGAGTGATTTCTGACTGAATAGCTAGCTCCTCAATCAACAACACCTTAGCTACTTTTTCTATTAAAAAGGAGCTCCCCCCTTTTACATAGTATATGAGGTTGACTAAAGACACAGGTCCATCGAGATCAACCTTTTGGCTCTGTTCACACCTGGGCATATCGATTATGCACGTTTGTCGTGCGTTTCGCGACGCGCGTTTTTACCGCGATTCGCGTTAAAAACTGCGTGACAAACGCGCGTTTCCTAGGGCTACTTGGCTGTATCCCAATGGAAACGTGCGACAAAAACGCCGCAAAGAAGCTCATGTACCTTTTCAGGCGTAGGCCGTTTTGTAGCGCGTTCAGACGGGCTGAAATACGGCAAGGTGTGAACCATACCCATAGAAAACAATGAGATTTTCATGTTTGAGCGTTTTGTAGAGCGTTCGTAGAGCGTTGAACGCGCTACAAAACGTACAGGTGTGAACCAGGCCTTAAGAGTACCTGTATCCTTGTATGTTACGGTCTCTGAGGAATTTATCTAAATGATTTTTGAATGATTCAACACTCTCTGCTGATGCCATTGATTGTGGCAGAGAGTTCCAAAAGGTAACCACTCTGACTGAAAAAGAGGCCTCTACGCCCTTTGTGGTTAAATCTTTTCTCCACCAATTTTAAGTGGTGGCCTCTAGTCCTTGTTAGCGAGTTTAGAGTAGAAAGTTTATTGCTGATGCTGCCATCGCCACCAAACATTTTGTACATTAAAATCATGTCCCCTCTTAATCGCCTCACTTCCAGCGTGAACAAGTCTAAATTTAGCAACCTTGTCTCATAGCTTTGATCCCCCAGCTCCTTAATTAGTTTTGTTGCCATTCTCTCCAGCTCCAGGACATCCCTTTTGTGTATTGGTGACCAAAGCTGAACTGCATACCCAAGATGCAGCTGAACCAACAATCTATAAAGTGGCAAAATTATCGCTTTGTCTCTACAGTACATTCCCTTTTTAATACAAGACAGTACTCTGCTAGCTTTGTTTGCCGCAGCCTGGTATTGCAAGCTATTTTTCAAACTGTGGTCTGCTATGACCCCCAAATCTTTTTCCATTTCTGACTTCCCTAGTGGAGCACCCATTAATGTGTATTCCGCTTGCCTGTTTTTAACCCCAAAATGCATTACTTAAAATTTTTCAACATTAAACCTCATCTGCCAAATAGTCGCCCACTCCCCTATTTTATTCAGATCCTCCTGTAATGTTATACCGTCTACGCTCGTGTCTATTACCCTCCCAATTTTAGTGTCATCTGCAAACACAGAAACATGGCTATTAACACCTTCCCCAATATCATTAATAAACAGGTTAAACAGTATTGGTCCTATCACGGAACCCTGGGGCACGCCACTTATTACTGTAAACCAATGTGAAAAAGAGCTATTTATCAATACTCTCGGGACACGTTCCTGTAGCCAGTTCTCTATCCATGTACACACTGTTTCATCTATGCCCATAGATTTAAGCTTGTGTATTAAGTGTTTATGTGGTACTGTGTCAAATGCTTTTCCAAAATCCAGGTACACCACATCCACTGGTTTTCCTCTATCCAGATCTCTACTCACCTCTTCATAAAATGTTAGTAGGTTGGTCTGACAAGAACGGTCCTTCATAAATCCATGCTGATTATCACTTATTATACCTTTGTCACAAGCAAAATCCACTAAATAGTTCTTTATCATTCCCTCAAACAGTTTGCGCTGGCACCTTATTTTGCAAGCCTTCCACCTATTTCCTCCTCTCCACTAGCATACCAATCCTTCTCCACCATAACACTCCTACTCAAAGTCCTTCTCTGCCTCCTCCTGCCCTATGGCATTGCACATGCTAGTGGAGGGCAGGGATGGCTTTCTGTTAGGGATGCACCAATACCAGTTCAGATACCAGTGCCGATACTTGACATTTGCATGAGAACTACCAGGGTTGCAGCTGGGACCTGGCTCTGGCGCCCCACCACTGTCCTGAAATCATTAGTCTGTATTGTTTTAGAAAAACTGTCACATGAAAATAAACACAAATATATCAGTACTTGTACTTGTAAGTACTTGGGCAAGTATCAGTACTTGTACTTGCAAAAATGGTATCGGTGCATCCCTTTGTATATGTTTATAAAAAAGGAAATCATACATTAAAACAGAGATGTACAAATCTCAGGAGCTCCGTGTGCTCTTTACAAATGACAACTGCCTCCTAACTTTTGATTTTTTCTCTAGTTTAGTCTTGGAGCTCAAAAAGTATCTGTAATTGTACTTGTACCGAGTACGGTACTTGGTGTCGGTGCATCCCTACTTTCTGTGTCCATGTAATGGCAGTTGACATAACTTTCAGGCCAAAATAATTATTGCGGAGTACCTGACACAATAGTGTAGCACAGGCCATAAACTCTCGTGAACAGGGTGTTTGGTAAATCTGGCATGAAAATGCTGGGCATAGGGGTCATTTGGAACCTTTTTTCCTTCTGTTCCAGCAGAAGCATTGCAAACATCTAGACTGGCCATGGAGATAGAAGCCAGAAATATTGCATTTCTAGCACTATATTAGAAAGTGGCTGCTGTGAGCTCTTGAAGTGCATGCCTTTTGCTGCTGATTTTTTTTGAGGTGGTGCAGAGTCATATGTTTCCTTATGATACCCAAATTGCTGTTATTTTCACCAAGGCTGATACCTTCAGGCAGAGGCTGCAGACCACAATGGTGCTATTGGCAATATATACAATAGAAGGCCAACACTGCAGCGCTCTATTTGCTGTCTGTTCAGGTGCTGACGTAGTGTCCTAATGCCAGCCAATTTCTTCCAAACACATACATGAAGTCTACATTTTAAATATTTTTGGAATACTTTGGGGATGGAAAGGGGTTCGGGAAATGTGGGTGTAGCGCTGGTTCCATGAAGGAAACTTGCCCTGTCCACCAAAGTGTATAAACTAATATTTCTCTTTCTCAGCAGGGTTTCTACCGCTCTCCAGGCTTTATAGCTGTCCTATTTCACTTCCAAGTCTCTGGCTTTTTTGCAGAAGGTCAAACAGGAACCAACTACAATCTCTGCAATGAACCCAGGAGGCAAAATCAGGTCGCATCTCCCGTATACAAGTAGCAACACATCTGCTTAAGAGTGAAGCCACAAGCAGCATAATAGTGGAGACTGCTGTCCCTTAGCAGATCCTTCGTATTAGAAGGTCACTTATTCCTTTCCAAATGTTGCCATCTCTAAGACAATTCTCACCCTCCTCATTTTAATAGTACTTCTCGCCAGCAGGTACACACAGCATCTTTTACTCAGCATATTCCTTTTCTGAGCACCATCTTTTTAGTGTGATAAAAGTAACTGGAAATATACATACAGTATATATATATTGCATTTCTTTACCTTAGCTAACTTAATGTTAACTGAGATCTGTATCTTGTCATAGCTGTGCTTTCCTTTTCTCTTGTACGTATTACAACTCTTCCTCTAACATACAGTTTATTTGCCCTACTTCCTCTTGCCCTCTTTTCTACTTTTTTTTAAATACTTTTCAGCTTTTTTTTTTTTTGCAGCAGCTTACTGCAGTTCTTCCCGACCATTATATATCTCAGCAATTTCCCACTCTTTTTCCTCCAAAATACCCTTACATTTTCATGACTGGACCTATGCAGGGGTTCTTAGGAAATACTATGACATATTTTTATCCGCCTTCTTTTTTCACTTTACATTGTTAATCTCTGTGTTCCTCTTTGGCGTAAAAGTTTAGGGTCAGAAGACACCTATGTCTGAAGCCTTGTTAACTGCCAGGCCTCACATACACTGTTTCCCTACACAGTTATAATATTTAAGATATGATATTCAGATTAGGCCCTTTGACAGGACCTTTGGTTTTCATAATTTAGCACTCTAACTAAAATACAGTAATACCTTGGTTTACAAGTAACTTAGTTGGAGAGTGTTTTGCAAGACAAGCAAACATTTCTGAAAAATTTTGCCTTGATATACAAGCAATGTCTTGAAATAAGAGCAAAATTTTGTAGAAAAGCACCACCCGAATAAGGCTGAAGCAGTGCGAGCGATGAGTCTGTTTAACGACAATGCAATGTCACATTGGATAGATTCCTTGCTAAGGTTTCACGAAATGAAAAAGATTCCGTTGAGCCAAGAGATAGCAGTGATTCCGTTAGTGATAGTGAAAGTCGTCCTACACAATAATCCTACTCTCTCTTGTCTCCCTCACACCAGCCACGAAGGTACCTGTAATTAGTTTATTTGTCTTTATATTTTGTATTATATTATAGTACAGTACTGTATTGTAATCCTTTTTATATGAATATTTTTGGGTTGTGGAACGAATCATCTGAGTTTCCATTATTTGCTATGGGGAAATTCGCTTTGATATACAAGCGCTTTGGATTACAAGCATGCTTCCGGAACGAATTATGCCCGTAAACCAAGGTACTACTGTATACTGAAAAATAATGAATCTAATTCCAGTGAGCTAAACTTAACATTCAACGAACACTGGCATTATCACAAATAAGGAGCTTTAAAAAAGACAGAGAGTGGAAGCACATTGTGTGTGATTGCAGTTTGGAAAGAGATACTTTTTTTGTTTTTCCACTGAAGTCACACCATTGTGCACATTGCATTGGATGCTATATATTTGTAAAGTTTCATCCAATTTTTTGAGCACAAATCGATTAAGACACTACGGTGTGGGGTTTTTGATGTTTATATTGAATGTTATTAAGTTTAGATCACTGTAATTAGATTAATTATTTTAATTAGTTGGATACACTATCTAAATGTTGTGTTAAGATTTTTTGTGAGTTATTCACCTGAGTGTGGGCAGCTGGTATGACTAGAAGATCCATTAGCGCAGAAATGTATATAGTAGGACATTTGCTTTACCACACAAAATTACTAGGTCTAAATTTAAAATAAAACACTAGCCTAGACCTCAATGACCTCCTGAAAACTTTGAGATCCCACATTCTGCAAAATTATCACAAGATTTGGGATCCTCGGGTTCTACAGGAGGCAGCAGGCAGGCTGTGTGACAATACTGGTGCCAAGACAAATGGAGCAGAAACCGGACTTTTTCTTGCTAGTTAGGTTTTGCTAGTTACTTTTAGCTAGAAGGCACCTTTTAGCCTATTTCAGTAAGCGCAGAGTTTTAGTAACTAGAATATGCACACGTTAGAGCAGTCTCTCTGTAGTATGTTAACACTTATTAAACATTTGTTTTTTGATAAGTGGCTACCTAGCCAGATATACATTTTGATTTGGCATAATAATGCTATACCTTGTGTACATGTATTCCCAAATAAAATTTTACTAAAAATATTTTCATATTCATTTTATATGATAAAAAAAATAAATTTGAGAAATAACCCAAATGCTTACCTCGCTGAAGTGGTTATTGATGTATTCTCTTCCTTTTTCATGTAGCTCTGTGCACCCAATCTGCTCTGCAAAGTTTGATATCCCAATGACATTACTGGGGTCCAGGTGTTTAACAAGAAAGTCACTGCATGCTTTAGACACATCTTCCATCTGGTATCTCATAGCAGCTAGGAGTACATGCAAGACACACTTCTCCCCAACTGTTATTCTTGATGAATATGCAAATTCTATCAGCCTTTCCATTACTAAAGGACACATGTCTTTGATGATGATTTCCTTGGCATGGCATTCACGAAAGTTATTGGTAAACATTGCCCTGAAAAAGGGGCTACAGGAAGCAAGCACAATCTTATGTGCAGGGAAGTCCTCTTCTTGACCATTGTAGCTTACTTTTATGAGGACATCACACATCTGATTATTTCTCCTGAGCTCCTCCATCTTCTCAAAAGCTTTGGAAGCATGGTTTTCAATAGTGTAATCAAGGTAGCCATGTCCTTTCATAGAAGGGACAGCAATGGCTGCTGAGTTCTTCAGGCTGGGCTTCTTCTTTCTTGGACATAACATTCTCAGGATTACAATTCTCTTTGGATGAATTTAAAATGTGGCATTATTTTTTTTACTTAGCTTTCAAGGAAACATGGTCCTAATTCTTGGCAAGCCCTTTAAAACATTAAAAACAATGTATTAGCAAAAATAAAACTTAAAAATGTTAAACAAAATACCTGCCTGACCAAATAATATTATGGACAATGGAGAAATTCCAGGCAGAAAATAAAACTGGCCCACAACACAAACTTATATTTAGAACCTGTGAATACAATCCCCCTGTCGAGCTTCCTCGTGTCATTATTGTGCCACCTAGCTGGTTAACTGGTTTGGGGGTTTCCTACAACCCAGTTCCCCAGTGTGTGCAGGTAAGGATATTTATAAACAAAAACTTAACACCGTTTTGAAAACACTTTATTAATTCTAACTTTACTAATATTAACTTTTCAGGTTCCTATGTCCATTGGCTGGTCCTCTGCAATGCTGGAATCTCAGAGAAAGTTTTGTGTTGAACAATGTGGGGGATACTGCCAAAGGTGCTTTGTTTTACTGTACTCCATGGACAATCATTTCAGTTTTTTTACTAAAAAAGCAATGATTTGTCAGGCCAAAAATGTTATATTCAAGTAGCCTGAGAAAATGTTAGGTGAATATGCAGGCAGGTAACATTCACCATTTTAAAAATAAAGGTAAATGTTGAAGTAAAAATCTGCTCCTACTGAAGAACCAATGCTGCTAAATGTTAGGGAATTCATTGTCAGTGGGCGAATGCTGGACAAATGTTTAGTAATTTAGCTTTATGCGTAAGGTCAATAATGCCCAAAGAATTGTGGATACATTTTGGGTAAATGCATACATATTACAATCTGCATTTTTAACTAGAAAACTGCTTAAACCTCCAAAACATCATACATTTTCTGAGAGCAGAGACCGTGGGAATAAAAAGATGATAGTTGCAATATTTTAAGTTGGACAATAGCTGCCCAAATGTTTATCAAATCTATTTCCAATAAAAAAAAATACACTAAAACAAATTTGAATGCACACAAAACACAATATAATATCCATAATTTGAATAAAATAAAAAATAGAGCTTACGTCTAGTAAAGCGATACCAAATATGTCAAGCCTCATGTAACAGCAAAAAGGTACTGCACCCAAAATTATTATTATTATTAGGCTACTTTTTAAATGCCTTTACAGGTCAGTTTAGAGTTACCCATAAACGAAGGACCTAGAATTATTTTTCTCATGCCAGTGTGGTCTGCAATGCCCAATATGTGATGCATATTCATTGTTTACAAACATTTGTGCTCCCTGCATTTCAATTAACTGTATCACTATCATAAGGATGCTAGCAAGCCCCCTATGTGATAGCATGGGGTAGGTGACTGGTACTCTTTATATAGGAATCTATTAGACCCCTAATGTCTCCTCTGCCCTCTGCTTCAGCCTTCCAAGCACATACTGTGCTTGATCCACTGTTTGCCTGGCTTTTCAGCCAAGATTTTGACAGCTCTGAACTCAGAAATGCTCAGGGATTCCAGGATCACACTGTTCAGAGGATATCGAGGAATGGATGATCCTGGTGTCCTCTCACCAGTCAGTGACTGGTGAGAGACACAACATTGAACTGTTCATGATACATAAGGATTATGTTATAATCAATGAAGCGAGCTTGACAATGTAAAAAGTGATATGGATATTTCAGAGTACAACAAGGTGTTCCTGCTGCAGAGTACTGAGTGTAGTGGGGTTCAAGGAGCAGTGTGTGACAAGGTTTAAGGTAAGAAGTAGCAGCGCTGAGCAAAATGGATTTAATGGTGTGCTAAGTGTATCAGTGTGCATTATCAGGTGTTCTGAATGTGCTAGGGTGCATGATTTAGTGCAAACGAAAGGAGCGTGTTGCAGTAAATGGTGCTGTGATCTGATTGTATATGGTGTGCATGCTGTGTTGTGCAAACTGTTACAAGGTTCATGGTGTAGTGTGCTGATTATGTCTGGCGTGCATTGGGAGGTGTGGAGTGAATTGTTCTATAAAGTTCTTGATGCAATTTGTTTTCTAGTTCAATATCTACAAGCAGGCATCACTAGTTCTGGGTACCTGAGACAAGTGTCCCCAGACTCTATGGGGAACTAGGATGTGTAGTTATGCCCCTGCCTCCTCTCACACAGCAATGATCACTGCTCATTTTGTCATCCCTGTTAGGGACATAATGCTTGTATGATAGTCAGAAAGGACAGTATGATGCTTAAATTATTGAACCACCAATACTAGTTACCATTGCACTCTATAATCTGTGCTGTGCCCTACATACTGTGTCTGTACTGCACTCTGTCAGCTATTATGTATCATACAACAAACCACTCTGTACCATATGCATATGCCATCTTGGATGGTTCACTTTGTGTGCTGTACATTACATACTCCTGACCTGTATAAAAAGTTGCTGGTTGGTAAATGATCTGACTAAACTCTCTGTTTCTATATTCTGGGTGTAGAAAAGCATATCCAATGGAAGAGTAAAATTTTTCTTAAAATTATGCTTTGTTTTTTTGTTTTTTTTTGTGGGGCTCACACTTTTAGCACAGTAATTAAGGCAGCATATGTGCCAACCAATCAGCTTCTCTTTTTTTTTTTTTTTTCAAAGCCTGTGATGGAGGAAAAAACTGAAATGACCAGATCCCATGTGGAATCAGATGTAAATGGAATACCCCTAATCCAGCACAATCAGGTCCGGTGAAATGGAACACCTCATCTATTTAGATCTGGCTGCCCATAAACTTACACTGGGCATCCAATCGGTCAATCCGATCTATCAGTTTTTTTGTGGACCCCCTGACTGAAAGGGGCATAATACTATATTTATAAACGTAATAAAAGTATTTAATAAATTGATAAAAATGTTTATGCTAGAATACTAGAACATGATTATTTGTGTAGAATAATAATTGGTTAAGCAGAGACAAAATACAAATAACACGCATACCTGATCTTGCTGTTCCTGAAGGCAGAAATATTTAACTCTCCTTTGTTCTTCTGTAATGCTGCGTTCTCCTGCATTTCTTTAGATTGTTCTGCTTTGAGTTTACGCCATGGCTGGTATGAAATAAATATTTACTTGTCAATATCCAGTTACTCTCTGTGGTGACAAAAAAGTAACCTATGTAGGTAAAATTCAGAATTCCATACCTCCCAGAAAAAGAAAATAATGCATACACACTGTTTCATGTTATAACAAAGAAACCTGAAGCTGCAGCTGATGCGAACGCAGCCCACATACTTGTGACTCGTGTTTTCCTTTTAATTATCAGAAGCCCAATTTGTCTAATCTTCTAATGAAACAGATATTGCCTGAAGCTGCTTGCACCCGTAAAAATCTTTCGCTTGCTCTAAGAATGTCCAGCAGTTCTAGTTCAGTATTTGTGCCGATGTTGCTTAGCAAGTCCACATAGTCCCTCAGTAACTGCATTGTCATCCATACCAGGCTAACCTACTAGTGAATCATTGCAATGCTATGTTCATATGCAAAACAGGAGTCCCCGTCTATTTAACCCGTATCTTGTATTTGGCAGTCTGAATGAAACCTTTGCGGAAGAGCATATGCACATATTTGCACAAGCTTTCATAATGCTGTCCTATGTATGTTTCAATAGGATACAATACGTTGTACCGTTTATTCTGCAACTAAAATTAACAGTTTTTATTCCTTGCTGTGTGACAACTAAAGACCTCAGGCACTCAACCTTTTTATGTTATGTTCCTAATATATGTGTAATAATACGTGAAACCTCTGTTTATCACTCAGCATGATATTGTTTTGTGACTGTCAAAGTATGTTACTCAATAGAACTGTATTGAGTTTTTAATAATCTTTCGCATATGCTCTAAACACATGTACAAAAACTCTCACAGCAGTGTTATAACTTAATGCAGAGTTATCTTAATGTAGAGCACT